AAAAAAAAAAAAAAAAAAAAAACTTAGTGCAGTGCCTAAAAGTATGTGCCCAGAAGCAAGCACTATTATTATTAATTTTTTTTAATTGGAGTCTCACTCTATCACCCAAGCTGGAGTGCAATGGCATGATCATGGTTCACCACAGCCTTGCCCTTGAGCTCCCCATCTCAAGCGATCCTCCCACCTCAGCCTCCCAAGTAGCTGGGACTACAGGCGCATACCACCACACCCAGCTAATTTCTAAATTTTTATTGTAGAGATGAGGTCTTGCTATGTTGCCCAGGCTAGTCTCGAACTCCTGGCCTCAAGCAATCCTCCCTCCTCAGTCTCCCAAAGTGCTGGGATTATAGGCATGAGCCACTGCACTAGGCCAGTAACCTCTACTATTACTGCTGTCACTGCTATTGTTGATGTCATCAATGTGTTCCCTCCCAGTGGCACCTGCTTAGGCAGTCAGGCTCCTTGGGATGAGCCAGACACTGCCTGTCCCGGCTCTGTCACCTCCAGCCCCCATGCCATGCCTCTGTATTCTCCAGTCTCCCAGAACACACTCAACCCTCACAAGCCGCTGGCTTTGAAGGAGCCATTCCATAGCCTGGAAAGCCTCTGTACCACCATGACTTCTTGTAGTATCCCCTCTGTACAATCTTCTTCCGAAGGTGCCCTGTCTCCTCCCCAGCCACCAAGGCTGCCTCAGCCCTACACGCCCTGGGCTCCAACCATGCCAGCCCTGCTTTCATCCTGCAATTCTTTGTCCCCACTGCCTATGAGCTCCCCAAGGGCAAAGAATGGGCTCTTTCTACCTTTGTGCAACCAGAGCCTGGCCAGGAGCTGGACTAAGCAAACGTTTGCCAAATGAATGAGACACTGGGTCACCTTGGACCTCCAAACAGCTGACATGTCTTCTGCCTGCTGCTCCCTCAAACTGCAACACAGCCAGGTGCGTGGCTCACACTTGTAATCCCAGCACTTTGGGAGGCTAAGGCGGATCGCTTGAGGCCAGGAGTTCAAAACTAGCCTGGACAACACAGCGAGACCCTATCGCTACATAAGAATTTTAAAAATGGGGCCTGGCGCAGTGGCTCACGCCTGTAATCCCAGCACTTTGGGAGGCTGAGGTGAGAGAACTGCCTGAGCCCATGGGTTCAAGACCAGCCCCGGCAACTTGGTGAGACCTCATCTCTACAGTAAATAAAAAAATTAGCTGGGTGTGACGGCACATGCCTGTAGTTCCAGCTACTTGGAAGGTTGAGGAGAAGGATCGCCTGAGCCCAGCAGGTTGAGGTTGCTGTGGCCATGAGTGTGCCACTGAACTCCAGCCTGGGTGACAGAGTGAGACTCCAACAACAACAAAAAAAACTTTAAAAAATTAGTCAGGCTGGTGGCCCACGCCTATAGTCTCAGCTCCTCAAGAGGCTGAGGTGGGAGGATCACTTGAGCCCAGGTGTTCAAGACCAGTCTGGGCAACATAGCAAGACTCCTATCTCAAAAAAAAAAAAAGACAAAAGCATGCTACACACTCTAACTCATACCTCACACACTGTCTAGCTGCCGCTCCCTGAAATGCACAGACACACTCACACACTCGTCACACACACTTGGGCAGAGAGCATGCGCTACTCGTCTCTCATTCCCTCAAGACACACTTCGTGGCCACACCTTCAGGCACCACTCAGAGCCGCACCCCGCCACATGCACGCACCCCACACTCACACCACACACCACCCAGAGGCGTGGGAAAGGCCACTAGGGCAGTGCCCGGAAGCCAGGCCGCCAGGATTGGAGAGGGAGGAGAGCAAAGCAGGTGAGTCAATACCAGGCAGGAAGGGGGTGCAGGGAGGGAGAGAAGCATATCAGTCTGTCCTTCCATAAGCTGCTGACAGATGGAAAGTTAAAAAGGTCTGGGGAGGGAGAAGGGGAGGAGGCAATGACAGTGGCAGAAGCTACCCTGACAGCCTGAAATCAGGAGGCTGAGAAGGGAGGGGGCAGCGACAGCACCCCGCCCAGCTTGCAAAGGCCTGGCCCACAGCCTCTCCCTGGGGTGGGGTTAGAGAGGAGGCTGAGGGCAAGACCCGACACTTAGGGATGTGCAGTGCTGTGGGTGGCTGGGAAGACCCACTCCCAGAGCCAGAGTTGGCCCCAAGTCTTGGGGGCTGAGGTCAGTAGGGACAGCTCGGTGGGCTTTGGAGTGCCTCTGAGGAGTAGAGATGGGGGGGAGCCCTGGAGTCAACCCCGCCAGCCTCCACTCACCCTTCACCCATCTCAGGAGAAGCTTTCCTACCCAAGCACCCACGCGCCTACACATTGAGGCCTTCCCAGCAGGGGAGCAGAGGCAGGAGCGGCTAGGGACATGGGTGCTGAGCCTGCACCCCAGGGCAGAGCCATTCTCTATCCCGTCCTACGCCTGTGCTCTTGGCCACAAGGTCACTTGCCCACTCTGAACATCTGTTTCTTCATCTGTAAACTGGGGATGATAAAAGTACCTACACTTCGATAGGTTTGTTGGCAGAAAAAAATGTGCCAAGCACACAGATAGCACTTGATAAGTGTGACCAATTATTAGGCTCACCATCATCATACTCAGCATGGGTCCCTGGCCTGAGAGGACACGTCTCATCTTACACATCTATGCCCTTCTCCTGGTCTAGATGTTAAGAGTATCCTGAGGGTCCAGGTTCTATCCAACCCCTGCACTGCTGCTCTAGGGGCAGACATGGGGGCTGGATCCCCAAAAAGACAGCTTCCTAGTATTCAGGTTCCAAGACCCGAGATGAGGGAGGGTCATGGCTGAAATAATGTGTCTGGAGGGGCAGCAGCTGGCCTTGACCTCAGAGACCTCAGGGAGGGTGCCCAGAGAAGACTGCAAGGCTGGGGGGACACCCAAGGGAACATGAAGAACCCACAACTGCAAGGTGTAGGAATTTGTGCAGGTCATACTGCCTCTCTGGGCCAGTTTCCCAAGTTTTTGATCCTCACAAAAACTAGGCCTAAGTTATGCCCAATTTACAGAGATGGAATCAGAGGTCCTGAGAAGTGGTGGTGATAGAATCAGGACCCAAACCTGGCAGACGACCCAAAGCCAGACTACACTGAGCTATCAAGGACTTCTTGTCACACAGGGAACCGCCCAAATTTTCTTTAACGAGAAACTTTCCATAGTGTAGAATTTCCCTACATCAGATGCTCAGAACACTATCTCCCTGAACATTAGTCAAGTAAGTTTGGGAAACACTGCATTTCTTTCTCATCTTTAAGGTACTAAGATATGCTCACATACACATTTCATTTCCTATACGGCCACAGAGTACCCAGCATTTTCCAAATGTATCCACAGAAAAGTACTGGTTTAGGACACATTAGGGAAAAGGCTTCCTCAAAGCATTAAATTCAAACCAGTCCCTCTAAAGCAACTGTTTCCTCTCTGCTTTTGGAGGGCAGTTTTCTCTTGCATACAATGAGGTTCACCTGCCCAGCACCACGCCTAAACCCTAAACACTGACCAGATTATGGTAACAAAGCCAAAGCCTGGGTGCTTTAAAGGCGTGAGGAGACCAAAGCTCCGACAGCTGAGAGCTTCTCTGCCTTCCTGACAGCACCTCTGTCTTCCCCTAACCTAGTCCCACGGTAATCCCTGCCCCACCTCCCTCCTTCCTAAACAAAAGGAATGAGACTGTCCCACTCAGAAGGGAAAGGGTCCCGCAGTGGCCACACCTGAAAGTAGTTAATGATAAAAAAGACAAAGAGGTAATGCTAACCCTGTGACCTTAAGCAGGCCACATCACCTCTTGACCTACCAATGGAGATGGAAAAAATCGTTTTCCTGTCTCACAGGGCAGCTGTGGAGATCAGTGAGGTCAGATGTGAGGCTGAGTGTAGGGTGTGCAGAGTTCTGTGAGTCCCAGAAAGAGAACTGGGGAGCAGCCACTCCGACCCCCGCACGCTCCCCTGCCCCTCGAACGTTAAAGCCGGAACTTTGGGCCTCTGGGGTCAAACAGCTAGAAACTGAGCTCAGGCTGGGTGCAGTGGCTCAAGCCTGTAATCCAGTACTTTGGGAGGTGGAGTCAAGAGCAGCCTGAGCAACATGCGAAACCTCGTCTCTACAATAAATCGAAAAATTAGCCGGGCATGGTAGCACATGCTTGTTGTGGTTCCAGCTACTTGGAAAGTTGAGGAAGAAGGATCACCTGAGCCTAACAGATCTAGGCTACGGTGGCTGTGAGTGTGCCACTGCACTCCAGCCTGGGCGAAAGAGTGAGACTCCAACTCAAAAAAAAAAAAGGAATTGGGCTCAGAATCCAGCAACTCACCTAGGATCCCAGCAACCTCCGGGCTCCTAGTGCCATGCGCACCAACTTTCCTGCAATCTCCATCACAGCCTCCCTCTATGCCTCCCTGTGCTTCTGCGCTGCCCCCCCCCAGCCCCTCTGGGCATCTCTGCTCTCCTTCCACTAAGCAGCCCCTTCCACTTATAAGAGGATCCCCCGCCATACACATGCCCTCCCCTTCCCTTCCCCAAGCGCCCCGTGAGAAGCTTCCCACTACAGGGCGGGAAAAGGTAAAATTTTCTACCCACTAAAAGAGAATAAAACCCAATCTCCACGGATGGAAACATTAATGAAACAGAGGTAGGGCCTTGTTAGCACCCTTCCCAGGTACAAAATCATCTCTGTTGGTTTAAAAACAGCCGTGAGACAGACTGGTTGGCTTGTAAAAACTACCAGTGTGCTCCGCTAGAAAGTTCTCTTTCAGCAACTTTGTGCGGAGAGGCCAAGGTCACAGGGCCAGGAGCAGGTCCCAACACCCCTCAGACTCAAGCTCCTGCCTTCTGGGCTCTATGACAGGCTGGCAAGAAGCACCAAGGTCCTAACCTCTTCGAGAACCAATGAACCAAGAAGACACAGAATCCTCCCTACGCCTAGAAAAACACCTGTGGCTCAGGGCAGTGCACCAAGAGTGGGACCCACCAGAGGCCGCCCAAGATGTGACATGTACCATTTTCCCCTGAACAGCCACAGTTCAAAATCACCAAGAAAGCCCAAAACATGGACTGCAAAAACAGTAACACCTCAAACATTACAGCCATCCTTCAAATCACTTGTGTGTCACATTTCTACTTTTAAAAAACACATAGAATTAAAAATGCATAGTCCAAAATGTTCAAATACTAAAAGTCCTTGGGAAAAACTGTCTCTTCCCTGCTCAAAAAGGCCCTGATTTGGGGTACAGCTGTCATGCCTTCCCTCCCACTCCAGGATGGGGCTCCCTTACCTGGCTCCAGAGCTGGGGGCTTCTCCAGTCTCCATTCCACGGTCTTCTGGTCGAGCCTCCAAGGAAGGCGAGGAGCCATCTTCGCCCTGGGTCTCTGGCCCACTCATCTCACCAACCCCCAGCTCCCTGGCCTCCAAGGGGTCTCTGGCCTCCAGGCCAGGGGACAAGCCATCACCATCCCTGAGGCCAAGCTCTGGGCACTGGCCGACCTCTCCCACCCCATGCTCCCTGGCTTTACTCGGGACCCCAAAGAGCTCCACATTCCGGGGCCCCAACTCTTGGGCCCAGTCCATCTGGCCCACTCCACATCCCCGCGGTTCCTGAGAACCTCCAGACTCTAGATCACAGGAAACCTCCAAATCCCTCAGGCCCAGATTGTTGCCCCAGTCTACCTGGCCCACCCCGAGCTGTCTGGGCTCTCCGGGGCTGCAGCCTGCTCCTGGGGCCATGTTTCTCAGCCCGAGGTCAGGTGTCCAGTCTGCCTGTCCAACTCCACGCTCCCTCGATTTAAGGAATTCTCCGGCCTCCACACTGGACCAGTCGGTCTGCCCCACGCCACTCTCTCTGGCCTGGCTGTGGCCTCCTCCCTCCCCCACGTCTCTGCTCCTCAACCCAACATCAGCAGTCCAGTCCTTCTCCTCGACTCTGATGCCCCTGGGCTCTTCAGACCCTCCGCTTTCCAAACGGCTGGCCAGGTCCATGTCCCTCAAGCCCAGGTTGTCTGACCAGCCCATCTGTCCCACAGCATGCTCCCCGGCCGTGTTCGAGCCCCCGGAACCCACACAGCTGGACACGTCCAAGTTCCTGAGACCTAGCTGGTCAGTCCAGTCCACAGGCCCAGCCGTGGCCTTCCCAGGAGGCACAAAGTGGCCACTTCCTGTCTTGTTGGAAGGGCTCAGGCCAGTACCACCCATTCTGTCATTGCCAATGATGCCAAACTGATAGCTCCTGTCGGTGGTCTCGAGGCAGAAGTCCCCGCTCCAGTCCTGCTGCCCTGGGCTAAACGCTGCCTCTGGCTGGGGGGCAACGCTCAGGCTGAACTCACCAGCCCAGGCTCGCCCTCCCACTTCCCCGCCCTCCAGGTGGGCATGGCCAGGGTTCTGAGTCCCCACCTGCTGCCCCTCTTGAAGCCCTCCCACCTGTTGGCTGGCGTTGCCACCCTGCCAGCCGCTCTGGTCTCTCGACCTGAGCGCTTCATCTGTCAGCCGGGTGGTGCTGGGACTGAACGAGCCCCCTGGTTTTCTCTCTTCTGGTGGTCTGGCATCCCTGCTGGGCTCACCAAGGCGATCTTCACTGCTTGGAATCTTCTTCTCAAATTCCTCATCCTGCTGCTGGGCTTCTTCGGGGCTGAAACCGGAGCTCAGGGCTCTCATTCCAAAGCCTCCATCCTGGGCACTGAGAGTCCTGGAGTTGCCACCCCTGCAGTAGTCCCTCATCCAAGCACTCTCCCCAAATTCCCGGTCCTGTGGCTCCACACCCTGGCTGCTATAGGTGCCGAGTGAGGCATCCCTCTTCTCAAACTCCCGGTCCTGCTCATTGGCATCCTGGCTGCTGTACCTGCCGAGGTGGTCCTTCTTCCCCAGCTCCTGGCCCTGTGAGTCAGTATCCTGGCTGGCATAAGCGCCCAGAGAATCTCTCTTCCCAAAGTCCCAGTCCCGAAGACTGGCATCTTGGCTGCCGTACGAACCCAGAGAATCTCTCTTCCCAAATTCCTGGTCCTGGAGCTCAGCATCACGGCTAGAGTAAGTGCCCTGGGAATCTCTCTTTCTGAACTCCCAGTCCTGAACTTCCGCCTCCTGGCTCCGCTGAGCACCAAGCTGGGTGGGCTTTCCAACCACTCGGTCCTGGGCTGTGAGGCCCCCTGGGGCAGATGCTTCCTTCTGATCTTGGCTGTGGCTGACATCGATCTCCCCCTGGCCAATGCTACACCTGTTGGCCCACTCCCTGGTGCCCCCTGCCCCTGTTCCTTGCCCACATTTGCTGCTCCAGTCTCTCTTTCCTAGACGTGGGTCTCCCCCAGGAGTTGCCCCCCCAAGACTATAGTCCTGAGAAGCACTTTGGCACCAACTGGAAGGACGGAAACTGCTGGAAGGTGGGTCTGCTGTGATCCCAAATTCACTCTGCAGATCTTTCTGGGACCAGCCAAGGAGTCCCTGGGAATCAGAAAAACATAAACAAAGAAACAACACTTAGAGTCAATCAGGGTGGGAGTCAATCCAGGATGAGAGTCAGCACTGCCTAGGGCCTGAGAGTCCCGCTTTGGCAACAGAAAGCTGTGTGACCTTGAGCAGATCACTTAACCACTCTGAGCCTCAGGATCCTCCAGTCTTAAATGAGGATAATTCCTATTGCACAGGGCTGGGGGAGGAGATTAAATGAGATAACTTAGCCCAAGCACTCAGCACAGCACCTGGCACAAAACGGGCAATCGATCCCATAGTCAAGTTTATAACCCTTGGGCAATACTTGGGGAGCCGCCAGGAGAGAAGTGGTCTTCACACAGGAATGCGAGAGGAGTGCACCTTCAGCTAAGAGAGGCCAGGACTCAAAGCCTCTCCGCAACCACCTTTGCAAGGCAAGAGTCCGATACCACCCAGAAGCCCTCCCTACCCCCGTGAGTACCCAGGCCCTGCTTCCCTGGGAAAAGTGCCTTCTGCCTAGCCCAGGAAGAGCTCTTAGCCCTCAACTCTGCCGGGAAGACAGGGCAGACAGCCTGGGGCACAGGGAAAAATCCTGGCCAGGGCTCCTCGCACCGCCCCCCCGCCCCCCACCACCCTCCCTCTCCCTGACTCACCCCTGCGGGCGCGGGCTCGGGACTTCGGAGCCGGCCAGCCTCGTCTCGCAGCGCAGCATTGGCCAACAGCCGCTCCAGGATAGACATGCCAGCCTCCTGGTCCCTGGGCCGGGCCATGGTCCCCGCCCTCCGCCCGCCCTGGGGCTGTTGGGTGCGGCTGCGGGGGGCAGGGACAGGGCTGGGCTGCTCCCCTCACCGGGACCTGTCCCACGACTCTGGCTCAGGCTTCCCTCACCCTGGCCCTTCTCCTTCAGGAGCAGCTGCGGCTCCGGCAGCCCCGCCCAGGAGTCCGTTGAGTCACCCATATCCCAGGACAGACACACCTACTGCGGGAGTCAGCACTGGCTTAACCCCTTCCTGCTCCTCCTCCTCCGCCCCCAGAGGCCCCTGGCTCCTCCCTCCCTCCAGCCCCGCCCCGCCCAGGCTTGAGAAATTCGAATGCCACCTGGCCCCCAGCCCTCAAATTCAGAGGCGGCCCGGTAGGAGAAAGGGCACTGGGCCGGGAACTGACACTAGCCCAGGCCAGCTTGTTGGGTAACTAACTGCACCAGGGCTCTTCCTCCTCCAGGCTACAGCTGCCTGTCTCCAGAGCAGGTCTGGAGCTCAGTGGTAATAGCGTTTGTAAAAGCCAGCACTTATTAAGCACTTGAGAAGCCAGGCGCTATTCTTAGTAGTTTACACACACTGTAGTTCATTTAATCCTCACCTTCACCCCCTGAGGGAGAGTGTATCATTATTACAGAGCATTTCACAGACACAGAAACTGAGGCAGAGGGCAGAAAGGTCACTTGTTCAAGGTCACACCTGAGAAGAGTCCAGAACCCGGGCGCTCAGTGGCTCCATCATTCTGTCTGGAGCCGTAATCCCGTAATAAGAGACTGAATACTCAGTCCATCCCGTGCTTTCTTTATCACATTCACCTGCAGCACAGCTCTAAGAGGCTAATGCTATCGTTATGAAAGGAATTGGGACCCATCGGCTGGTGAAAGCTGGGGCCAGGATGAGAACTCACATTAAACCCCACACCTCACGTCCTGGAAGCCACCAGCTCGGCTAGACCCCCGAGAGCGACAAGGGGCAGGTCCACAGCTGCCTTGCTTGCTACTATAGTTTAAGCTCTTGATACGTAAAGTCCACATTGAAAGGATGAAGCCCACCCAAGTCCCAGCCTGTCCCAGAGGCCCCACCCTCCCTGTGCCCATCCTCACCTCGGAGCAGGTACTCGGGGACTGTGGGTCCTTCAGCTCAGATCCAGCGCTCCGCCTGGCACCACCAGCGCTAGGTGGTGGTGAAGCCAGAAGGTCGTCGAGCCACCGAGAGCTGCTATCCGGGCCCGTAGGCTCAGGGGACGCCCTATAGGAGTCTTGAGCCTCTGTCCTGGGCTGGGTGGTCTCGGCCCGGGCTAGGGTCACGGCCTCCTCTTCTGCAGGCAGTGCCTGCCCAGGGTCAGGGGCATCAGCAAAGAGGACACAGGGCTGGTCAGGGGGTGCTGGCTGCTGCTGCCCCAGGATGGGCTCCAGGACGGGCAGAGCTGTCTCTGTGGTGGCCAGAGGGAGCGGGGACTCCTGTCCTGCCAAGGGCTCCCGTTCTTCATACCTCTCCTCTGCCCGCAGCAAGGGTGATCCCGGAGGATCCCCGGCTGTAGGAAAGGGCTCAAGGGGAACAGCTGGGGACTGAGGTTGACTCCGCCCATCACCCTTTTGGGTTGGGGAGATGCTTGGGTCATCCCCCTGGACCCAGGAACTAGGCCTTCCTGGACCCCCTGGAGCTGAGCTGGCCCCTTGCCCCTGTTGCGGCATCCCTTCCCCTCTGCTGGACACAGCCCAGCTGCTAGCCTCCGCGGCCTCTGCAGCCTCACTGGCTTCAGTGATGGGGGAGGGGGGCGGGGAGTCCAGCCGCCACACGCCCAGACCTGAGGGCCGCGTGGGGAAGGTCCATTCAAAGGACTGTGACAAGCTCCAGTTGGACTCTGCCCCAAAGGGATGATCCAGGGCTGACTGACTCCCCTGGGATTGGGGCAGGGTAGCCAGCGAGCCCCCCAGCTTCTCCTGGTCCTGGCTGGGGGGCTGGAGCACACCTTCAGAGAATCGGCGCTGGACCAGACTGACCGGGCGGAGGCCAGCATCACTCTTGGCCACCACCTCCTCCCCAGATGGAAACGTCCGAGTGAGACCCAGCAACTCATCCCCCTCAATCAGGGGACAGGGTGAAGTGGCTGGGGTATGGTCTGGGCTTTTGGGTCCTGAGACCTCCTCGAAGGAAGGGCTGCTGGGTCTAGGGGCCTCTGGGGCCCCCTCCACAGGGAGTCCTGGGCTGGGGGTAGGGCAGGGGCCATTGTCAGGCAGGGCTGCACTTGGGGATGCTAGAGTCACAGGGAGGCAGGGAGGAGTCTTGGAAGCGGCAAGACACTGGGCTTCTGGGAGCTGAGAATGGTTGGGAGAACCCTTGGCAGGTAAATGAAGACAGAGTGGCCCGGGACCTGGACCTGCACCTTCAGCAGGGAGGCCTGGACTGGCAGAGCCTCCGTTCTCTGAGGTGGAGTCTGGACTTGAGGGGACACAGGGCTTGGAAACCTGCAGGAGAAAGGTCAAGAGTTGTCACTCACCTCTCAGCAGGTGGTAGAGGGTCTCCCCACCAGCCCTACACAGACCCCAGGCCAGGAGTCTCTCACTCCATAGACCAGGAGAAGGAAACCGGAGCTGGGGGCCTCTCGGGACAGCTGGGAAAGGCCCCAGAGATGATTTGGTGCACGGCTTCTTACAACTCTTAGGGTCACAAAGTCCCCCTTTTAGGTCTGTCTCCCCAGAAAATGTGCCTAGCCACATTCACACAGCCTCATTCATGCCATTTCAGGTGGTCTGAGCCCCGACCCACTTACCATCCCAACCCAAGTTCATCTAAGGATCTCCTCAGAGGCTGTGGTTCGGGGGTCAAGAACACTTGCTTTATAAAGGGAAACTGGGAATCTGACCATCTGGGCATCTTGGCATGCAGGAGGCAGGGGGGTTCTGGCTCAGAGCAGGACCCTAAGCCCAGTGCAGCTGACAAGCCGTCCTGGGAGTAACTCCAGTGGGGACAGTGGTGCTACCCCCACACTCTTGTGTCTCCACAGGACCCAAGATGCGGGAAGGCCGTGGGATTCAGACACCAGGCTCGGAGCCATCCCGGCACCGCCTATTCCACATATTCCCCACCACCACCACCATATGGTGAACACTTGGTCTCTCTAAGCCTCAGTTTCCCCATCTGTTCTCTGGGGTTGATGGCAACAATGCCTACCTCCCGGAGTAAGGTGGGGGCTAGGTAAGATTTGTGTTCTGGCCTTTCACCACAGGACTTAGAAAGGCTTCAGTGAGAGGATAGGGGCAGGGAGCGGGGAGGACACCAGGGAGAGGAAGGGAGCCGAGGCACGCCAACTGTCCCCAGACAATGAAGGAGTCTGGCTCTATCCGACCTTTGCCCTCCCAGAGGCCACGCCCCCCTTGCCACCCTCTCCAGGGCAGCATTCCTCCCACATCATGGCCTACTAGGTCTGGGCAGGAGAAGAGGTCCTGCTTGTCCCTATTCTCTTCATGCTCCCTCGCACAAAGTTCTAGTTTCAAAGCTCGAGCCTCTAAACAGCACCACCCACCACCTTCCCTGTTATCGGCCCCTACACACCCTCGTTCCTTGAAAACTGTAGCCCCTAGATCACTGCAGCCCCCCAGCACTGCCGTTACCATCTGCATTGACCTCCAAAGCTAGAGGTGACCCTTCCAGCATCTTGTTCCTTGACCTCCTTTTCCCCAAGGACATTGCAAACCCATCCTCTCCCAAGGTCACATCCTCAACCTCATCCTCACCAGTGACTGCACCCCTGTGTCCTTAGTCCCAAGTGTCTTGCTCACCCACCCCCTACCGCCTACCTGTCCAGCTCACTCTATTTCTCCCATGCCCTCATGTCTAACTCTGCTGGGAAGCACAGTCCATGACTCCTAATTCCTTCTTACTGTCCCCCACTCCCCTCGCACCTCTTCTTGCTACCATTAATGTCACTTTTTACACTACACCTAACTCTCTTGCCTGCTTCACCATACTTTGTTTTGTTTTTTGAGTTGGAGTCTCCCTCTGTCACCCAGGTTGGACGGAATGCAGTGGCACAGTCACAGCAGCCTCAACCTCCTGGACTGAGGTGATCCTCCTGCCTCAGCCTCCTGAGTAGCTGGGACTCTAGGTGCATGCCACCACACCCAGCTAATTATTTTTATTTTTTTGTCTCACTATGTTGCCTAGGCTGGTCTTGAACTCCTAGGCTCAAGCAATCCTCTAGCCTCGGCCTCCCAAAGTGTTGGGATTACAGGCATGAGCCACCGTGCCTGGTTTCACTTTATCATGTTTAGCCTATTTAAATACAGTTCTCTGCCAGTTGTAGCCCAGTACCTGAGCAGGTGCAAGTGGCTGGAGAAAACATGCACTCACGCTAGCTGGTCTCACTTCAAAGCCAGTCCAGAGCTGCCCAGAATCCCACCACACTCCCTGTTCCGTTCACACCCCGACTCTCCCAGGTAACACTTTCCCGTCATCTCGCCTCAAACCTCAACACCTCCCTCCACCCTCTCGCAGCTGATGGCCTTGCTTCCTGGTCCCTGAGAACACAGAAGTCACCTGCAGAGGACCCCGACCCTGCACCCACATGCACTGCACACACGCCACACACTACTGCACAGGAGCCCAAAGTGCCCTGCCTCCCCTTCTGTGGTCAGGAACCATCCTCTCTTGTGGCTAAGGCCAACCCCTTCTCTCTCTCTCTCCTGCATCATTGATTTCTCTCCCTCTCTCTGCTGGATCATTTCCATCTGCACACAAACTGCTCTAATTTCTTCTGTCTTGGAAAAAACAAGAGACAACCAAAAAAACCGCTCTGACCCCACATCTCTCTCTAGCCACCACCCATTTTCTTGAAAGCACCATCTGCATTTACTATCTACAGTTCCTCGTGTCTCATTCTCTCTCAAACCCACTCCAAACAGGCTTTCTCCTCTACCTTGACACTGAACCACTCTCCTCAAGGTCACCGATGACCTCCCTGGAGCCGAATCACCTTGCACGACCTGTCCCTGTCAGTAGCATCTGAAAGCGGATGGTGACCTCCCCCAGTCCTGGAGGCTATCTCCACTTGGCCAGGCTCCCCTCCCGCCTACCCACCATCCGCTCCTTCTCGGCCTCCTGGCTGGGCCTCCCTCCTGTCCCCACTCCCTTGGCGATCTCAGCCAGGCTTAACTACCATCCCCACGCTGACGATTCCCAAGTTTTCCTCTGTAAGTTGTTCAATTCCCCTGTCTCCCAGACTCAACTATCCAACCGCCCGCACAACATTTCCACGGGGAAGTCTGAGAGGCATCTCAAACTCAACAAACCCGGAAGCAAACTCCTCATATCTCCCCCACTTCACCCATCTTGGCAAATGGTAACCTCACTCTTCCTGTTGCTCAGACCCAAAGCCCTGGAGTCATCCTTGATTTGGCACCTTCTCTCCTCACATCACATCCACCTGAAAGCCCCGTCCACTCAGCCTTCAAATTCTAGCCAGAACCAGCCATGCCTCACCATCTCCACCTGAGGCTACATCTTACATCCACGTCGTCATCATCTCTTACCTGGATTATTCCAACAGACACTTGACTGGTCCCTGCTGCTGATCTTACCTCCCTGCAACTGATTCCTTTTTTTTGGGAGTCAATTCCCTAGTTTGACAATTCCCAAGTTTTCCTCTATAATTTGTTCAATTCCCCTGACTGCCAGACTCAACTATCCAACCGCCCACATGTTTCTCCCTCTGTAGCATGGGATGGAGAGCAGTGGCACAATCACGGCTCACTGCAGCCTTGAGCTCCTGAGCTCAGGCAATCCTTCTGCCTTAGCCTCCCGAGGCACTACCACCACCACATCTGGCTAATTTTTAAATTTTTTTTTAAAGAGATATGGTATTGCTGTGTTGCCCAGGGCTAGTCTCGAATTCGTGAGCTCAAACAATCCTCCTGTCTCAGCCTCCCAAAGTGCTGGATTATAGGCAGGAGCCACCACACCCAGCCTCCTACAACTGATTCTTAACCCTGCGGGCAAGGTGACTCTTTATGTCAGCAGTGTGTCACACCTTTCCTGCAAACACCCCAAAGGCTTTATCCCCTGACTCAAACTAAAGTCTTCATAGCAGCCTGTCAGCCTCAATGCAATCCAACCCCATCACCTCCCAGTCCTCACTACCCCCCCACCTCCTGCTGCGATCCAGACCTCCTGGCTTCTTTGCCAGGGAGGCGCCAAGGCCTCTGTTCTTGGGGTGCCCTCTACCAAGAAGGTTTTTTCCCCAAACATGCACCCAGCTCACCCCCTGCTCTTGGCAGGGCCACCTTCCCTGACTACTCTTGTCCCAGCACTCTCAACCATCACAGCTCTCCCTAGCACCAGCTCACAGCAGGTGCTCAGTCACTATTTGCTGGATGGGCAAACGGATGGAGCAGGGTCTCCAACACCCAGCAGCAGGATGGCTCTGGCTAGTGAGCAAAAAGGTCCATCTTGCACATCGTTTACTCAAGAAGGTGTCTGATCATCCCCTGAGCACACGGGAAGCGGGGGGAGGGGTATGACAGGAAATCTCAAGAAAAGGACTCTCCCCTCCTCAGAACCTAGCCAGGAAGGGCACTGGAGGTAGACACTGCTGTTCCCACCTCGGCCCAAGTTAGTCAACCTTTGTGTACCCAGGCATTCTCCTCTCTCAGATGGGACTAACAGGGCCAGCCCAAGGGATCACAAGGATCAAGTTAGTTGCCAGAACACAGTAGGTACTAGCCGGCAACTGTGATGGAAATTATCGTCACTGTTTCTGCCGGCAGCCTCACGGCCTCAGCTACACTTAACCACCTTAATGACCAAAGGCACAGGCCTGGGAGTCAAGAAATCTGGGTCCCAGGGCCAGACCTTGGGTAAGTCACTCTCTCCGTGGGCCTTGGTTTCCCCATCTGAACTACAAAGAGGATGGAACAGATTATCTCAGCGCTATTCTGATTCATCACAGGAGGATTAACTCACATCGGCAGGTGGCTCAGTGCTGGTCGGTTTAGCCAGGTCCCCGTTGAAGGGACGATCGGAAGGGGGGCTCCTGTAAGGAAAAAAGACAGGAAATAGAAGCACAGAATGCCAAAGCCTGTCACAGAATGAAGAAGGGGAGAGTCTCCCTATGAAACGTTAATAGAACCCAAAGGTTGAACACCCCCAGGCCTCTACTCCTGAGACCTGCCTAGAAACACTGGGTACCCAGAAGCTGTCTGGTTTCCACAGAGCAAGCATCCCAGGAGATGGTATCTACTCCCTTCCTGCACATGAAGGGTTAAATTCCCCCAGCTCCTTGAGGCAGAGTATCCTGTATGACTGGACCCCTCGATGGGTCCCAAAAAGACAACTCCTCCTTCCCCTACTCCATAAGGGGTTAAAGTTCTCCTCCAGCCATGAAGAGTACAGCTGGTCCCACCACCCTGCCAATTCTTCTTCAAAGAGTTGCGGGGAGGGGAAGGGGGAAGTGTGAATTTCCAATGTCGAAGTTATCACTCTCAAGCCCTGCTTAGAACGTGGGAGGGAAGGAGGACGGCAGGCAGAACCTTGCCTGGGCAATAGCCTGACCTCGCAGCAGCCTGGTCTAGAACAAGCAAAGGGTTAACTCCAGGGCCAAGCCTTCAAGCCTTTCAGGTCAGAGAAGGGCCAGACTAGAGGGCAGAGTAGGGACCACAGCAACAAGAGGGTGGAGGGAGCCTTACTGCCCAGCAGTGCAACCAACGGCCCCAGGGCCCAGCCAAGCCTCCAGCTGCCTTGAGCGTGGCCTCCAAGCAGCAGATGGCTCCTGGGATACCTCAGCCTCTTCCTCCAACCTCCTGGGCCCATCACCCCAAGAAGACCCTCTAACCAGCTTCCCTCTACACAAGTGCCAACTCTGGAGAAGTGTATCATAACATAAGTCTCTCCAGCTGGCCGTAATCTCTGGGCAGACACTGGCTGGCCTGGCATCAAGATGAGTTCCTGTCCTATCTCTCCTATCAGATTCCTCCTCACAGCTAGAGACTGTGCCCCCTCATCCTGACACACACCCACACCCACACACACCCTGGACTGGCACACTGCTCTGCCCCCAGTAGGAGCTGGCAGTTACGAGCACAGACTTTGGAAGCAAACACACCTGAATTCAAACTGTCTCTGCCTCTTAAATTTGGCGAGAGACTATGGGAAGTCACTTATTTATTTATTTATTTTTGAGTCGGAGTCTCACTCTGTCGCTCGGGCTGGAGTACAGTGGCATGCTCATGGCCACCGCAGCCTCCACCTGCTGGGCTCAGGTGATCCTTCACCTCAGCCTTCCAAGTAGTTGGAACTGTAGGCACACGACACCATGCCCAGCTAATTTTTTGATTTATTGTAGAGATGAGGTCTCGCCAAGTTGCCCAGGCTGGTCTTAAAACTGTAGGCTCAGGCAATCCTCTCACCTCGGCCTCCCAAAGTGCTGGGATCATAGGCATGAGCCACTGCACCTGGCCTGGGAAGTTATTTTTGAGGCTTAGTTTCCTCATCACTAAAATGGGTCTAATAATCCTTTCATCAAACAGGGTGGCTGTGGATTCAATGAGGCAAAGTTTGGCACCTGGATTTCAGTATACAGAAACTAAAAATAAGCTTCTATACCATACACTTGAACTCTCATAAACATGTACCAATTCTGGAAAGAGAATTACAACTTTTCTTTTTTTTTTTGAGTTGGGGGTCTCACTGTCACCCAGGCTGGAGTGTAGTGGCATGATCACAGCACACCACAGCCTCGACTTCCTGGGCTCAGGAGATTCTCCTACCTCAGCCTCCCGAGTAGCTGGGACCACAGGCACCCACCATGCCCAGCTAATGTTTTTATTCTTGGGGGGGGAATGGGGGATTAGAGAGGTCTCACTCAATATGTTGCCCAGGCTGGTCTTGAACTCCCACCTCGGCCTCCCAAAGTGCTGGGATTACAGGTGCCAACTCGAGAATTCAACTTTTTTTTTTTTTTTGAGTTGGAGTCTCACTCCGTTGACCAGGCTGGAGTGCAGTGGCACACTCACGGCCACTGCACCCTCGACCTGCTGGGCTCTGGCGACCCTCCTGCCTCAGCCTTTCAAGTAGCGCTCCCATGCCTGGTTAACTTTTTTTTTAATTTATTACAGAGACGAGGTCTCGCCAAGTTGCCTGGGCTGGTCTAGAGCCCGCGGACTCAGGCAATCCACTCACCTCAGTCTCCCGAAGTGCTGGGATTTCGGGTTGAGCTACCGAGCATCTCAACTTTTAAAAGCATCTGGTGATAATGACACCATCTGCTGTGACTGAGATTGGAATCGCCTGCACTCAGCTGACCTCCAGGTTGGGGTCACAGCCCCAGACAGGGCCACTCCCTTTGTCACTTTGTCCCCAGTCCCACCTCAGGCTGCAACAAAGCACACAACCACCCCGCCTACCCCTCACCTCTCCTCAGGGGTCTTGCTGCGCTCATCCTGGCTCTCTGTTGGAGACTTGGCTGGGCCCTCCTGGGGCCACACCCTGCCGTCCTCATCCCTGGGGCCAGGGGCCACACCGTAGGACCTGGAGCCATATCGTGAGCTGCCATCATGGTTAAAGGTGAGGCGGGAGCCCCAGAGGCGGTCAGGGCTGGCAGGGACTTCCTTCCGAGGCTGCTCCATCTTGGCCAGGATCTCTTCCACCGTGGCCGCTGCAAAGCGCTCAGAGGCTGGGCGGAAAGGGGCAGGGGCCTTCCGCACACCCCCTGGGGCAGCACATCGAGCCGGGGGCGTCAGAGGGGGCAGCTCCTCTCTCCCGGCCTCCTCTTTCCCAGCCTCTTGAGAGGCCTCTCCTCCAGCAGGGGCCTCGGCCATAGGCCTTGGTGCGAAGGGAAGGGGACGTTTGCTGCCACCATAGGGCTGGGGTCCCGCCAGCATGTTCATCTTCCTGGCAGAAGGCAACTCGGCCAGGGGACCCCGTGGAGGCCGAGGCCCAACTGGCACTAGCAGGCTGGGTTTGGCAGGCAGGGCTGGCTTGGCAGGTAGAGCCCGGGGTTTGGGCTTGACTGGGGGTTTGGCCCGAGCATCACCTACCAAAAGGAAAAGTGTTGATCAAGGGGACTGTCAGAAGAACCAGGAAGCAGAACCTCTTGCGTTTCCCTCATTTCCTACCCTCCAATTTAATAATTTGACACAAGTCAAATGCCAACTCTTCCAGGAAGCCTTCCCTGATTTTCTACACACATCCCAGAAACATTTTCTCTCTTCAAACTCCCAAAATGCTTTAGCCAACATTCCTTTTATCATTATTATTGTTTTTAATTGCCAAGTATGTGGCTGGATGTAGGAAGCTGCCACTCGGCCAACATCCCTTTTAAATTAAAGCCATTTGAGGACCCAGCTGGCACCTTATTTTTCCTTGTACCCTATTTTGCACCTAGCACAAGTTCTTATTAAACAGATCAATGAAGGAACAAATGAGTCAATAAGCAAAAGCCTGCCTGCCCACGGACACTGATGGGAGGTCAAGCAGTCAGCCTCCCATCTTCCCAAGCTAGTCCTTCCCCATCCCAGCAGAGCTCCATCCAGCCTCCAGGCCGCCCTCTCCTCCAGAGCACTCCCAGGCCACCTTCCCACTGTCATCCGGTGTGTGATCAGGAATGCAAACTTACTATTGACCTAAGCACAACAAAAGTAAATCTGCTACAGGAAAAAAAACGAGGCCAGAAACCGACCTTCTATATAAGGCATTCCAATACCAAATAAAAGATCTTGGAATTACAGCTACAGCCCTCCTAATAGAATCCTTTGTCACTCATTCGGCTCAGTAGAGAGCCAGAAAGCCTGGGTTCAAACCCCCATGAGACACACCATTTCCCCCTCTGAGCCTCAGTTTTCTCCACTGCCAAACAAGTGGCTTTGTCCACATCACCTCAATGGTCCCTGTCAGCCCCTGTCAGCTCTTACCCCTGCCAGAGAGCTACAATCCTAAGCTCTTCCCATGAGCTTGATGGAAGCTAAGAACCTTTCAAACTCAACTTGCACTTCCTCGGTACTCCTTCCCTCTCACCTTCAGAGTCACCACTCGACCAACCCCCAGGACAGAAAGGGGGTACAGCCTCTGCCCTTCCCACCCTCCTCCCAGCCACCCCGCTCCACCCTGCACCCATCAGTACCTGGCTCCAAGCCAGCAGGCACCGGCTCCTCCTCCATCTCCCGGGGCGGTGGGGAAGCCATGGCTGTGCTTTCCCTGAGAGTAGATACTTTCATCACATGCGGCAGACCTTGCTTGAGAAGTGGGAAGCAGAAAGGTGCGAGTCAGGGAGGCCGAAGACCCCAGAGGAGAGACAGAGAAGAGAAGGAAAAGGAGTCGGGCCTTGGCAGTGCGATGGGCCGAGGGAAGTCTATTTCTAGCAGAGGCAGAGTGTGGGACAGGAAGAGGGAACTTGGGGGAGTATCCTCAACTCTTCCCAGATCCTCTCCGACGCCGGTCTCCTGACCCCAAAGTCCAGGAGCTCCAGGGTGCCACTCACTGCTCCCTCCTGACAAGCTCTCCAAGACACCCCACTTAGGGTTCGCAAGGCACCCCTGGGATCGGGCGGCCCCGCTGGAGGTGTCTGCTCAAGGCAGAGTGAGAGAGGGCCACAACTCTGAAGCCTCTCCGTGAATCACCTCATGGGAGACGGGAAAAACCCGCTCCTCCCCAACCTGGGGCTCCGCCCCACCGCCTGCCTCCCCCTTCCCGCTCACCCTCCTGTCCTCCCTCCCTCCTGCAGCTGGGAGTGGTTCCCTCTCCCCCCTCTTGGCCTGTTCTCCTTCCACATCCCTGCCCCACTCCCCCCTCCCTCAGAGCGATTTCATCCAAACACAGAAAAATAAGGAATAAAAAGTAAACATCTGGAATACATTTTTTTTTCTTTAATTTCTCAATCGCTTTGGCTTCAGCTTGGAATTTGATGAGGTAAAGCCAGGGCCTAGTCCTGTTGCCATAGCAATGGCCTCCCACTGGATTTCCAGGGCCTTGCCAAGAGGAAGGAGGAGCCGGCCTGGGCCGGGAGAACGGGACAGGCCTTGGGAACATTGGTGGGGCGGGGCGGTGTGTGGAGTGACAAGGGGGAAAACTCTCTGGGGTTCCCCCTTCCAGGACAGTCAGGGTGGGACAGCGCAGCCTATGAAAAGGAGATATGTGGGCATCACTCACCAGCTTGGGGTAGGCCTGAAGGAGTTTTGAGGAGGACGGGAGAAATTAAACCAAGTGTCACACCTAGTGGAAGAAGCCAAATGGGTTCCCCTCCTCAGAGCTTGTATATGGAGCCTCAGGGTCTGATATACCAAGAGCCAATGCTGGGAGGGTCTAACACTTCCGAGCTGTGTGACTTCCCTAAGCCTCAGCTTTCCTATCTGAAAAATGGAGTTACTGAGACTCTGGAGGCTGAAGTGAAATGGCGCGTGCAAACTGCTTAGCACCATGCCTGGCACGTCAGTATCCAATAAACGCTGGCCCATATTACTGTGATTCCCATTCAGTGGCACCAATGAGCTAACATCCCTGGTAACCACTTCTCCCTCCCCCGACCTCAGGCCACCAGCATTCCTAGACCATTCCTTCACTCCCTCAGGTCCCAGTCCTGTTACCTGTTCTTCATACACTCTACCACCTCCTCAGTTCCCATCCCGGCTCCTGAAGCACCCTCCCACCAACAAGAACCCCCAGATTCTCCAGCCTGGGGGAGAGCCCTGCAGCTCTAATTCAAAAACAAGAAGAATGTTTCCTACCACTTGGTATGCACCGAGCCCTGGCGACAACGCAGCCCTCTCCTCTCTCCAACCTGCAATGGGCACTGCCTCACTTAAAGACGTCTACTCCAGCTGGTCTGGGAAGACAGCACCAAATCTACAGAAGGGACCTCCAGCGCCCAACCTTTGCAAAACCCATCCCCCTCCCCATCTCTGACCCTGCCCCAGCTTGTTTCAAAGATGGGAGAGGGCATGAAGACAGAAGAGAACCCCATAACGGTCAATCCATTGGTCAGCCAGCTACCACGGAGGACTGCCCACTGTGGGTGGGTGAATAACTGGGTAGAGCCTGGCCAAATGTGTGGGGGGAGGGGCACGTGAAAGAAAAAATAAAACTAAAAAAAAAAAAAGACTGTTTCCTTGTCCTTGAGCATTATTACAAGGGACATGGTGTGGGTGGTTGGAAATGGAGACGCACTGGCCCAGACGCGAAAAACCCTTCCACCTAGGGTCTTGATGGGCCTTTCTACGGTACATGGGGCTGCAGCAATGAAGACGGGCCCAGGCTCCCCGGGTGGGGAGGTGGCCACAGCAGCCCAGAGACCAGGAGCCCCAGGTGACCAAAGCCACGGCCAGAAACTGCAAAATCGCTGCAGCTCTGAGCACTCCCCGCCCCCAGGAGTCGGGGAAGGGGGGTGGAAGAGAGGGGACGAGCTGACCCCTGGGAGCAAAGCCGCCAGAAGGGCTGGCAGATCCAGCCCCGGGCAGGGGCCTAGAGAGGACTCGGGGCAGGCGGGGTCGCCCCTACGGCCACTAGGATCTCCGGCCGGATCTGAGGCCAGAGAGGTCGGCAGGGACAGCACGTAAACTGCTGGGAAAGGGAGGGCCAACGGAAAGACGGAACAGCCGGGGGCGAGGGGCTGTCTGAAGGGGCCCAGTGGGGAGCTCTGGACACAGAGGGGACGGCGGCAGCCGAAGAGGAGGAGGAGGAGGAGGAGGAGGAAAGGGTGGAGGAGAGGGTGGAGGAGAGGGTGAAGG